TTTTGAATAGTGATATGATGGGAAATGTATGGTTGAAAAAGAAGAAAAAATTATTGATGTGATGGAGAATATTATTTTATTGAAGAATGTGTGATTGAAAATGAGAATTGATTTACTGTAGAAAAATTTAAATCCCTCTCAAACGGCCTAATATCCTTCCATTTGTTCCATTCTTCCTTTTTCAAATAATTGAGGAAATTTCTTTATCTACTTGTTTATGCAGCTGCTATAGACATTGTTGCAATGATTGGGTTCTGTGAAAGAAGGACCAATGTAGTGAACGAAAATGAACAGTAGCTTCATTCAAAATTTTCTTACAAGAACCCTTCTTTCTACACTCAATAATAAATATTTGTCCAACGGTGATGTAGTCAATTACAACATACCTTTTGCATGCAGCATCATAAACCTTTTGCCCTTGCTTCCTGCAGCAAGTAACAGACATGCCTGGCCTATAGCCGCTCCAACAGCAACTATATGTATCTGCAGATGAGATTAATATGTAGGGATGTAAAAACACAAGAAAATATTAAAATCTCATCTTTTCAAAACCAATGACAAAGAGAGAATGTAAGCCCCTGTTTGAGCCACATTATTTTTTTCATTCTCATTCTTCTACTCATTCTCAACCACACATTCTTCAATAAAATAATATTTTTCATCACATCAATAACTTTTCTTTCTTTTTCAACCACATATTCCACATTATATCAACAGTAAAAATGCATTCTTACTCCCAAAATGTGCACCAAACGGGTGCTAAAGTTGTAAGCTAATTAAAATTAGGCAAAGCAACTATTCACACAAGCAATAACCTTCTTGAATTAGACCATAGGCCACAGAACAAGCCACTTTAGGTACAAAAAACCTCGGTTCGACCGAGACCCATAGGGCGCAGACCCCAATGGGGCAGGAATTCCTCAGCGGGGCGGGCAAGAAACCTGCCCTTCACTTGGGTTCGGGCCGGGGATGTTCAGTATTCTTTAAAAAATTAAATTTCTCAAACAAAAAAAAAACAAAAAATATATTATGATAATTTTAAATGGGGCAAAAGAGTGCTCCGCCTGTATTGAGATGGGCACAGGGCTATCTATTTATAAAGCATTTTATAAAATGCAATTTCGCCCATAGATGTGAAAATTTAAAAATATCTCGAAATTGAAATACTTATTACTCGTCTTTGAATAAGTTAAATAACAATGACTAGTGGATTGAGAAAAGAGTTACCCCGATAGTCGAAAATGGAAATAATGGGTTAACATAGCCAATCCCAATCAGTAGATATATAACTTCGTATCATCAAGTCCTTTCACCCCCCAATAGCACCAATAACCACTAACTTATATAGCTTCACATATTTGAAACTTTAGGAACAAAATCATCGATCATTGCATGCAATGCATTTTTTTTTGTGATGTGATGGTGAATATGTAGTTGAAAAAAGGGAAAAGTTATTGATGTGATGGAAAATATTATTTTATTGAAAATGTTTGGTTGAAAATAGTAGAAGAATGAGAATGTAGCTCAAACAAGGGCTTAACTGGAGATACGTGTTAAAAATATATTTGAGAGCAAGGACGTCTTAAAGATTATATAAAATAGTAATAACTGGATGATACGTACGAAAATTGTTCACGAGGTTAACAATAGTAAGTTGTAGAACTAATTGTCAACCATGTATTGATTATATAGGGTGTGCACAAACTCGAAAGTAGTATCATCTGTTATCATAAAACACTTTAAACTAACATCATATACACATGTATGCATCACGGCTCTCTCCTCTTCATTGTCTTTCTCCTTAGTTCACCATTTGTAAGCAACTCTCACAACATTTCCTCCTATTCGTTTGTGCCTCACTCTCTCCCCTTCCCCTCAAACTTCATAAACGCAATGTTGTTTATATAGTTTTTACTGAAAAAAGGGGAAAAGCTACTAAACCAATGTTATCTACTTCTAGTTGACAGTGCAATTATATTATTTCTTAATTTTGAAGTAATATTATGCCCTTATTTGAGCCCTATTTTTTGGTATAATAGATCTT